GGTTTTGTATCTCAAGCTGGACCTTACAAAATGTACGTACTTGGCGTCAGTCAGGCTTTGGCTTCCTAGAATCCTACCCGCCCTTAATGTGGGGATCGTGAAGGTGTACGTTACACCCCCGTTTAATGTGCATTAATATATCTACACAACTGGTCTCCAGTGACACAAGGACTCAGACTCACGATTAGACAGAAGCAATGAGAACCTCAAATTCGCGATCAAAACCCCTTGGCTATAGCGGCCACTGTTAAATTCGAATGCATATAATGTTTTTAGGGAAAAAAAGCAAAAAGGGATTAAAAATTATTTATCAAGTTTTCTCTTTTATCAGTGGTATTGAAATTGCTGAAAAGATGAATTACTTGTATGACCTATTTCAAAGAATTTGTTAACTTGGCATTCTATTTCTTCATAGTGAGTAAGATTGCGAGCGAATTACACCTGAAGTTTAACCCTCCCCGTCTTGCTTACCTAAGGGTATGTGAGGAATGAAAGCAGAACCAGAGACTTCCATAATCACAATTATTTATTTAGTCAAACAACTTAACTAACAACAATATATTCTGTTAGTGGATGTCTAATGAGTAGCGCTGAGAAAGCGATGATTATTTAATCAAATATGCGGGACCAACTTATTTAGCTCAACATAATCTATCGTTGGTTCCTAACCTCAAATTTACTAATTCAACACAGTGGTGAAACACCACTCTTAATCTTCGTATGCGAAAGTAAACCTTACTCAATCTTACCTGCGTAGCGAACGTAGCTGCTTCCTACCTCCTTCTCGTAGAATTACCAAAACTCTGACTTTATATAGTCGAACTAATCTGAATATCACGGTTTCTTCTTGAGAGGGATGGCTGTGAATTAAACGCGAATGCTAGCCCAAAGATTCCGGAAGAGGATTACTGAGAGGACGCGTATAGATTCGTCACAAGATAAGGAAAAAATAAAAGCTGAATAACGGATGTATAAAAAAAAATACAAAAGGCACTATCTTGAAGGAAGTATCCAAACTGTATTTTCTAACTGTATTTTCTGTAAAAGACTAGTATTTAAGCGCAAATGCACTTCACAAGAGACTATTACACTGCCGACATATTACATTAGGGATAAGAGAATAAATACAATTTGAAGAACGTATTACTTTTAGTGTGGTTGTTTTGCAAGAACCGGTGCTTTAGTGAGCATCGAAGAATATAATCAACATTTAAGAACCCACCGAGGAAGAATTATCGCCCACAAAGAATGAGGATTATCTTTTTGAGGAATTGGTGATCGTACTGGACGTAAGCCGGCAATTTGGATGCAGAAGTGTAATTGATGGTTGCAGGAGAGAAATACTTACTCATTGCGCTAGCCCAGTACCTATTTAAGCTCATTTCGGGCCCTGGGGCAGAAGATCTACGGACCTCCTTCTCACTGGTTGATCGAAGTTTATTACCAGAAAACCTGGTTAAGTTCGGCTCTTATCCGATCAATTTCACTCCCTTCCGGGTTTCCAGGCGCCCACCTCAAGAGCCAAATGAATAAACTGGCTTAGCACTAGCCCACTCGATATTGGACGTACTGTGTATATTACAGTGATTATTTTCTGTGCTACATTAAGAACATTGTAAAATCATATGTAGAATATTGCACAAAAATTGGTGTCCGTGCATATCATTCGACGTCATTTGCAGCCCAGTGAAATGCCAATAAGACGTAGATTACAGTGACTAGCTCTGTCTCAAGGAAATAACGCAATGAACATTAGACTTGGATAAATCAATAACGCAACGTTGATTTAACAGATGAATCACTATTCCTCCTGCAACACTGCGACACTCGGATTGGAATCTTGAGATATTGAGAGAGATTGCTTATCTTTTGTTACTATACATTGCCCTATCGTTCCTATATCCATTATTGTTGTAAATAGATGGTATTGGATTCTTACGCCTGGCACGCAATACCAGCACAGTGACCAGACAGCATTACATCTCTGAGATCATGGAGTCTGTTGTCTTCTCTTAATTTCTAAGACTGCTTCTTGGCCACGCTCGAACAAAAACATGACGATGCATTATATGAAATTTTCAAACAATTTTATTCGCCAACCAGATTGCAATACTGCCTTTAAATGCCTATTCTCCAGATCTATAGAATATCGAACACTGAACAATTTCCTGGGCATATATCACCCGCCGACAAAAATCAATGTGAATAACATTTCAAACCCCTTCAGTTTACTATTAACTTAAAAATTAAATATATAATAATAAATCAAAACTCAATGAAAACTTCAATTAGGAATTTCAAGTGAAATAATCATTCCTTTTTTTTATATTATTCCCCACTATTTTATTGGTCATTTTTAAAAGTGTTAAGTGATAAGAGTTAAAAAGAGTCTTGCAATATAACTAACCTTCCTGTTTTTAAATTTCTGTCTTTAATGTAAATAAACGTTGGTGACAGTATGGTAATATATAGTAAAACACACACACACACACAAACATAAACTATAGCATCAATATGTCTGGCGAATGGTAATTTTTCACTTCTCTCTCAGTCAGATGTTACGAATTAATTCTCCATTCCACTAAAGGAAAATCTTATTTTTCTATTTCAAACAGCATTAATGAAATTTAAATACGCAAGAAATATATTCGCTCTGTTTCGTTTTTATATTTTAACATAAATCATTTTAATACCTTTTTATTAATATACGAGGGGTGATTAATAAGAAAAATCTCCAAAAGTACAAAATAAATTTCCGACAAGGTAAAATAATAACAGAGGTATCAGAATGAAGAAAATTGATTACTCTTAAGGTGGAGTGAGCGCTGATGAAGAAGAACGCATACTCGAAAAGGCTTAGCTGGTGACTCTTGTCCGAAGTGTTGTTATTGTTCTACTCGGTTGCGCACCGAAGGGCCGCCATGTTGGATTTTATGTGATTGAAGCGAAATAAAGAAGTTTTAATAGAAATGATGCCTTCCTCATTTTACCAGCAGGCCTGGGGCTTGTCATATATATATATATATATATATATATATATATATATATATAGTATTTGTAATTAGATAACAGTATTAGGGGTCATAAGTAACTAAATCACTGCACAATTGGAACAGCTGGAGAGTTGTCAGCGGAAAATGAAGATATAAAACGAATGAATCCACAAAAAGTCTTTTAACTTTGAAAGGCATCCATGAAAAAATATGATGTTAAGTGTTATTAAAGAGTAACAAGAAGTATTTTAATACAGCCTAAGCAAAACTAAAACATTCTTTATTTGAAATAGTTTTTTTACTCTATATATCTGATATTTTGGGGGGGAAAGAGGTGATACAGACTACTAAACATGCTAAAGCTGAATTTTCAAAAAAAGAAAGAAAATGCGCAGTTTTCTACCCAACATACAATGAATTTTTTTTCAAATTGCAAGGATTTATACAGAATCACAGATTTGGTACTATGGGTATTAATTATTAATTAATGAATATGAATCTTTTTACCACTTAGAGCTATCTAAGATCAAGCATCATCTATCTCCATTCTGATGAGAAATGTGAATACAAATGTCAATACCATTGCATTGTTGTTGATTGATTTCATTTGCATATGTAAAAAAATCCTGCCTATTCAAAATTATTTATCATAATTCCAATGGTGCTGAACTTGCTTGATTATTTGCTTCTTGCAGCTCAGTAAAGGGTGAATTGCTGCCAATGATGAATCTCAACGTCCCATTGACAGTTGCAGCTATGCCATTTGTGATTGGCCAATTTGAGGCTCATTGTGATTGGCGTATCATTTGTGATTAGCAGAATTAAAGGAACAATTTTACTTAATAATATACTCATTTATCGAATAAAAAGCAATGTGGTTGTTATCGTAGAACTATTACTATTTGAGAAATATATATTTTGAAATATTTACAATAAAATGCACTCTGTGTATTTTATCTGAAATGTTTTTTTTTCCTGATATACAAATGATAAAGTATGTTTTGTACGATAGAATCATTAAAATGCTGATTTATCTTAACTTCTATAACGAAACTTTGAAAGGGGACCTTACATATAGTGTGATGAGTTCTTGAGACTCAAACAAAACTATTGAAGTAATGATAATAAAAAGGATTTCATAAATAATGCATGCAATTTTAATTTAGCAAACATGTTGTAATTTGAGCTAATTACATAAAATGCATTTCGGAGTTATGTTTTTACTGCACGATTTATGTATACAATATATGTAATCTTTGTGAAAAAATTACGGTAATATTTTAACTAATATTTAGTGAACGATGTGATATATTCTATCTAAAATCGAATATTACCGATGGACGTTCTGACTTATTTACGTTTTAACAAGAATATATCCCACAACACCTATTGGATACATTTGCGAATAAAAAGTCGCAGATAACCTCAGCATAATTCATCATTCACCCTTTTTTTATAGGTTTTCCCTTCCTAATCTATATTGAGAAGGCAAGTGTTGCAAGCATCCATCACGTTCTCAATAAAAAGAGGTAGATCCCGGCGAATTCTTTACGCTTATATTTATCATGAATTGAATACTGTGTCTATTTATAAAATATTATGTTCCATGCCTTACTCTCTTGTTATATTCGAGATAGCTGGCAGAGAATTTTTTAGCAATGATGCGCTAGCTTATTCACTTGAGAAGTATTATTATCTTTTTCCTATATACTTTTTGTCATTCCCTTCAATTCCTACTATTAGTTAACACTTTCCCTATATATATATATATATATATATATATATTTATATATAAACATTGTTCAAATTTTCAATTGTTAATGAAATAATTTTATTCATCCACTCAACTTCAAATGCAGTTTTATTTTTTTAATTTGTAGTGGATAACACTTGATGTTAATACAGATTTTTCAAACATTAATCCATTCATTAAATTAAAAAGTGAACAAATAGTAACAAAAAAATAATAGTTCAACGGCATATGCAGAATGGAAAGTTGTTCCTTGTGTCCCTGTAGCGCAATGGATAGCGCGTTGGATTTCTAATCGGAAGGCAGTGGGCTCGAATCCCAACAGGGATGGCCTAATTTCTGAGAATGTCATTTCTCTTTACTACAGTAATTGAGTTTATATATATATATATAATTAATGAATTAAAAAATAATCCAACACCCTATATAGATAGGAAAATCACTTTCTATTTTGCCACTAAATATTGTGATTCTGACATATGTATATGTAATTATTTAATACAAAGTAACTAAAATAAACTTTTTCTTTGTTGACCTAAGTAGAAATTTACATAATTTTTCTTTTCTTATATTGCATGCTTAGTTATAAATTTTACTATAAGAAGATATCACATATATATGCAAATATTTCCATTTTCAATATCTGATATAAGCACTTATTATTATATAACAAAAGATATGAAGAACTTGCTTTAGAAATTAAACATATTTTAGAGCGCTTAAAATTATTTAACTTATCATGAATTTCACTTGGTATTTTCTTAATTGTTCTTTTGATTTTGAAAAAAGTGAATTATAAGAAGTTTTACGTTTTAAAAATATATCACGGTTACGTTTAAAAAACGTATGAGCTTCAAGTTTTGGGAATAAAACAATAAACTTCGCCATTTCACTCTTTCGATGGGGCCTAGGAAACGAATGGTGTGTCATGAGTTTGAGCCTAGTACCACAGTGTAAGGGGGGATGCACGTTAAATCTGTCGACGCTCAAACGTCCTTCCGTTAGTGAGGTGGGGAAGTTAGGAGATGGAGTGATAAAACTCAGGTGTCGTTCTCTTCACTTAACCATGATTCAAAATTACGAGGTCCGTCGCCCAAAGCCCTCAAGTAGCTGAATAGTACGATATTAATATTCACTCACTCATTCATTTTTTCGATGTCAACATAAAAGGCATGGCTGAGGAAGCTTAAAGATTTTCTAAAAATTTACGAAAATGTTAGGAATTCCTCAGTACAATTTTAAGTTTCTTTTTTCGATTCTTTCAAAGGTTCAGAAGGATTTAATATTGATTCATGCTTTTTACTTTCAACTACTTACTTTTTAATAAAAATTCTTTTTATGTCTCTAACATTGAAAATGCAATATATTTGATAGCAGTAAAAAACATTTTATCAGTGATAGAATTTAATTTTTTGGAATAGTTTCCTGAACACAAATGCTTTTCATAAAACTTAGTGATTTATCTGTTCATTAAGGTATCAGACTACGTTCGAAATCGTGATTGAGCAAAAACGTATAAATGGATAGTATTTAAGATATTTAGTGTCACTTAGATTAGAAAACGTATATAAAATTGTTTTAAGAATATTTTTACAAAAAAAATTATTACAATATTTTGTCAAAAAATGAACATAGAATGAACCATTTTCAAAATATTCTCCCTTTGTGAAAAATGCTTCTATTATAATAATATTTTGCCTGTATACAGTTCAGACCTCTGCACAGAGGCTCAACTAGACTTTTTGAAATATATAACTTAGAAGTGGGCTTATCCATGTTTTACGACAACAGAGGGGAGAAATCTGAAGAAAAAAACGTTGATAATTATTTGATTTGGTTGTAACTCTGAAAATAATGTGGATTTTTCAAAAAAAAAAAAAAAATAGGTCAGGATCTCTGGAAATGTCTTTACTTTATATAAGCAAAATATTATTATTTTAGAATCATTTTTTATAAAAGGAAAACATTTTGAAAAAAAGTTATTCTAAGTTAGTTTTTTGCCAAAATATTGTATTTAAATATTTTTTTTGTCAAAATGTCCTTAAAACATGTTTATACATGTTTTCTAATCCAAGCGACACTATCACGAAAATTATCCATTTATACACTTTTTTTTAAAATCACGGTTCCGAACGTAGTCGGATACCTTAAACAAGGTTTAAAAGAGCTTATGAAAAATAATTTTAATGAAATTAGCAAAAATTGATTTTTTCCAAGTCAAGTGTTGTTAAGTAGTTTCTCACCCAAATTTTCATCTTGGATTGAGTCGTATAAACATTTTGATATCTAAACTACCCGTAACCTACCCGTTTCATTGTATATATATTTCGTAAAGTTGTATGATTATGCATTGTTTTTAACTTATTAATATCATAGCCCCCTAGTCTTAAACTTTCGAAAGTTTAAGAACCTTCTTATATCCCTCGCCTTTTTCTTTAAAAAGAACCGGATTTGAATTACTAAAACGGAAGTATATTGATATTGTGCGCCTCCATAACCTCCTTCACACGAATTCAATTTCGTAAAATCCATTTTTAGCGATTTTTTACTTAACAAAAGACACAAGCTAGTTAAATTTCAAATCTGCAAGTCTGATACTTACAAAATGAGATTTTTTATTTCAAAACAATTTGTATCTCCCCTCAACTTCCTTGGGAGTCGATTACCGAAAAACCGGTTCTTAGCTAATCTCTACTGAGCAAAAGAAACATATTTGTCTAATTTCAAGTCTCATGGGATTCAATCGTTTGAAAACGGAAATATTTTTCCTTTAAAACGTCCCCTTTTAAACCACCGCAATTCATCTCCCCAAAACCCGTTCTTCACGAATCTGTGCTCCATAAAAGGATCATGCCTGCCAAAATTCAAGTGTGTTAGTCAAATAATTCATGATATATCTTGATAAATGAGGCGATGTTCTCTTATGTGTATGTAGCAAAATAATTTGATCAAAACTTAGGTTTTCTATAACATAATATCGTTATTGCTAAAACATTACAAAACATCTTCATTCGCCTTATTAAATGCTTCCATAAGCTCGTGCATTTTCCTGTTTAGTGAAAGAGATGCCAATAATAAAATTAATAAAAGTATCAACGTTAAAAAAAATTGTAATTTTAGCACAATTTACACTTTTTAAAATGTAGAAATATATTAATTTTAAATTAAATACGAGACACAAAGTTGTCTTCAAATATGTTTTTCCTTAATATTCAAATAATGCATATACGTACATCCGTAACTTTGAATTAGTTTCTGTTATTTTAATTCACATGAAATAAAAATAAATTTATGAAAATCAAGTTTCATAAATGAATTCTCTCTGTGCCGTTAAAAATGAGACTTCTTTTTCGAAATTCTGAGATGAAATTATATGCACCAGTATTATTCGAAGATACATAAAGTTTCTATATTTTTAAGACTAAGTACAAGAGATGAACTGTTCTTATAAAATATTACACAGGCAAAAACTAATAGCATATATACTTTCTTACCACATTACCTTATATTTCATTTAGATTTTATGATGATGTTTATGGCTGAAGTCAACTTTGCTCAAGTTTGGCTCAGTGGAAGATTTGGGCTTCTATAAAAATTACTGTTTATAAAATAAAAGGAACCAATCTACTTAAGAAAATGATCACTAACTGAATAAAAATGAGTAAAACGTTTATGGAAATATTATTGTATGACCCTTATTAGCTTAAAATAATTAAATAGAATATCAAATGTTTCGATAAATTTGTTTATAATATAACAGAAAAATAGATAATGCATCACAAAGGACAATGACGTAGCAAAAGTTTCAATAACGATTATTCAAATAAAGTAACTGTATAACTACGCCTTTTTTTCCAAGGAAATATATACGTCACTTGACCATGGTTCAAAATTACGTGGTCCGTCGCCAAAATTCCTCGTGTAGCTGTATAGTGCGACGTTAATATTCACTCACTCACTGACTCACCCAAATATATATCGTACGGATTTTAAATGATTTTATATGTATAAGAAAAGATAATATTTAAATATCTATAAAAAATATATGAAGTGATTTTCCTTGTATTAGGGTATGTTGTCGAGCGGATTCAATTAACGTTGCAGTCATTGAAGAAGGGAGAAGCATTATTCATGTTTTAAAATCTGCATTTTATTGACGATAACAAACATAAAGGCACATCATGAACCAGAATACGCGGATGATAAACAATTGTATAATTTTGTTTTAAAAACGCTGTGATGTGGCTGTCTCATCCATCAGTGTACGAGAGTTAGAAGGAAGAATTAGCCATAGCCAAAAAACAAATAAGTTTATTAACAATTCTCAACAACCTAACAAATCTCAACAACCCAAGTTAAGAAAATGCACCTTTGGATAAATATGGGAGCAAAAGCGAGGAAGATGATATAATTAAGATTTAATTATAAATTTAATCTTTTACTCTTGGAACGTCTTCGCCATACACATTCCAAATAATCGAAGCTGCATTCTAAGTTTATCTACTTTAAGCCGCACTAATCCCATTTAAATATCAAATTGATCAAATTGTCAATCTTAAGTACTAAGCAATTAATCTATGAATCACTTTCGACTAGCTTTTTAATACTTTACGTTAATCACTAACTGCTCTAACATTTAGCTCCTAACCTCTCTCTCTCTTTCTCGACTCTGAAATGTAATGTTTAAATGTAAGACTTGAAGACCTTGACATAGTTCGAATCTTCTTCGGAAGAAAGTTTTCAATAAAATAAGTTTTAAAGAAACAGTTTTTTCCCGAAACGATTAGTAGGAGGATCTCGAATAGTTCCTGTACAACCCGAACATGACCATTTTGAGGAATCCAAGTTGTGATTATTTCCCGTTAGGCGGGTAGTTTAAAAATTAATTATCTCATTAAGTTTTGAAAAGCTTGAGACCATTGGGAAATAAATCAGATCCTTCGAGAGAAAATTTAAGTGAATTATTACATATAGTTTATTTAAATTATCTTTATATTTTGTTAGCAAACACATTATTTTTACTTGTTAAAAAATGATCAAAATAATATGTGTATTTGTACTTATTTTTTTTAAAAAAAAGAGTGCAATCAATTTAAGAAGTTTCATGCTTGTTTTTGAGATATACTTAATTCTAATAATTTTTTTTAAATTCCAATTTCAGTTCACTTTTTCCCAGATGAAAAGAAAGCCTAAGAGATTTTTCCCACATAAACTATTCCGACTCGATGATAATTTATGAGTTTTTCTTTCAAAAAAAATGCATACAAATCCATTAAAATATCTGGAATATTTGTAAAAATACAAAAAAATTCGAATTTTCTTAGTTTTGC